AGTCCTGAGAGAAGAAAACAGCTACTGAACCCGTTGCCAGTGAGAAAAATGGTAGAGGAGGTCCAGCTAAATAATCTCTCAGGGTAAAATCCAGTTAAATGTCATAATAAACCTGAAAGTAATCCTCTGATCAAGCCACAGAAAGATAAATAAAACCCTACTAATGTTTGTCTACCCCAGAGATCTACTGTACAAGAAGTTAATGCTGACTTCACCAGATATATCATGGAGAAACAATCCCCTACTACTCACAGCCACACACATATATATGCACTCTAATGGAAAGGAGTCATACACAGTGGCACCAGACTATTGATATTTCTACCCTATTGTTTAAGTAATGTACAACATTTAATATGTCAAATGGCATGACCGTTAAAAAAACAACTAATTACGAGATACTCTTCTCACAAATCAATGACGTCAATTAGAATTGGCCTGGACAAAATAATGAGTGTTGTATACATTAAGAGGCAATGCTGCATTTAATGCTGGAGGTCTGGAAGAGTCTCAGAGGCTCTCCCTCTGTGGGCTTTAGCCTGGCTTGCTGAGGAAAAGAAATAATTATGATTGCACCATGTGCATGTGTGATCAGTACATCAGGACATTTAGAACATGCTGGCTAAACCCAAGCAAGGGTAGGAGACAAAGATGTCCAATTTACCAAGCTCTTTTGGATTTTATGAGAGCAGAAAGCTGTGCAGAGTAGAGAGGAGTTATTAACATTCTCAAGCCTCCCAGAGGAAAGAGCCACTGTGTGGATTAACCATTGGTTGAGTTCAGAGAGTCCACTCTGGAGCTCCAGATCCAGCTACAGATTTGGGGACATGTTCTGTGGCTCACATGAAGTAAGTTTTTAATTCATTGACTCCAGTCTGCATACTCATTCAGCTGAAAAAGTTCTGACGGCAAAGACAATGCATTGTGGTGCAGTAAGTATCTGTCAGAAATATTCGAATCCAAATATTGTCTATTTTTACAAAAGCTCATCAGTTATCTGACACAATTAGCTTTTAATCCTTTGTGTGGCTCTTTATGAAACCATCCATAAAAATACCACTCCAGAGCCAAACTTCAAGTCCCTTTCTCCCTTCTCTAAATAGGAGGCTTGACTTTTGGAAGGAAATGCTTCAGTGCAGTTCAATCATGAAGTTCTTCAAGTCTTGTTTTTAAATGCAACTGAACTGTCAAACTGAAGTTTTCCTATATATTGCCTGTGCCCAACAAACTTGATGACACAAATGGGTAAAGTGGAGCAATGTTATGACTGAATACAAAATAGTTCTCATCAAAGGCTCCACACTGATTTTAATGAGATGTGTATGGTGTCTGCCCAATCCCAGCTCAATCCAAGTCCACCATGTAAAACTCTGCAAGGTGGACTTGGCTTTCCCTCCTTGTACCTTTTTTGGTACTATTTAATCAGACAACGAGATAAGCAAACATTAATCAGAAATAAGGAGACAGAACAACAAAAAACCCATCAGGAATATGCCTGTACTTCTTTAGTCATATACCCTCTGCTGGATTTTGCTGTGTGTCTGGAACAAAGTGTGGTGCCCATGAAAAAGCACAATGGCTTCCTTCATCAAATCCAAAATCTAAGACTTATTTGAGTTTTGGATTTGGCATTAGGTCATTTCAGTCACCAGCTCTGAGGTGAGGGTCTGAAGTGATGCAGGGTATCCAGGCAGGTGCAAAGGAGAGCTGCTTTATTCCAAAAAACAGCTTTTTAAAACCATTATCTGGTCATCAGTTACATTCTTCCAAATCATAACAAACATAATTCAACTAACCACCACACACCACGATGTGAACACATGATGGTAATGTACCATGTTGTTCTACCCCTAGTTCAGCTGAGTCTCTCTCCCATAGTCCCCCTTCTTGCTTAGCTGATGTAACAGGCCTGAACCATGATTTTACAAGGCCTCTTTTTCATAAAGCCTTGGAATGGTAAGTAAGCAGTAACCTTAGCTGCACTTTCTGAGGTTCCCCAATCAATTCTGTGCACATATAAATATACATTTCATTTAAATATCATGCTATCAAACTCTTACTGGAATATCAAGAATATGTTGGTTTTAAAAAATTTTTAAAATAGATTTTTCAATTTTTTTGTCCATCACAATATATTATTTAGATAACCAGGTTAAAACTGCTATTTTTTTTCAGCACGGCTGGAATGATTATCATGAATCTTAATTTAGAAAACACTTAGCACTTACTGTTGTAATGAAACTAAATAATCACAAGAACCAGAATTGATAATAATAGGTCAGGATACCTGAATTATAATATAAGCAGTTTTATTGCTTATGGATTTCACTAAAATTTCATCTGCTGTTTATGGACATTAAATTGAACTATTAATAAATAGAATGCTAAAACCTGAAAGCTTTGCCTGAATTTTCTTTATGGCAGGCATTCTAAAAATTGAAAAATATTCACAGTAATAATAAATCTAAGAAGAAACTTTGACTATTGTTTTCATCATTACTCTCTCTCCTCTGAAGTTTTATGCCCAAGAGGTATCTAACCAATCATCAGGTATTATTTTTCACTTTCAGACAGTTATGAATGACAGTAAATAAATTAAATGAGCTCAAAATTGGAAATAACTACTGTTGCAATACCAGCACTGAATTACTATTACAATCTATCCAGCAAGTTCAAAGCTGCGAAGTTACCTCCAAAAAACTTGTGAGTTTGCTGCAAAGGCCTTTGGCAAAAACCTCCGTATTTTGTGTAGTTTACTACAATAGTGACCACATCTGGTAGACTTCATCTACTTGTGCACCTGAAACCTGCTGCTGCATGTCAGCACCAGCTTAGAGCACACAGGGCTCGTCCTCCACGGGGCACCTGTGGGCAATTCACGCTCTGCTGCTGGCGCGCAGCGCTCAGCTGGGCAGTTCGCAGCCTGACTGATGGATACAGGATCTGGGGCTGCATCAAGGTCTGAGACCATCCCTGTCTGAAATCTCTAAGATTTTCCTTTCTGAGCCCTGTAGTTTTAAAGTGCTAAAGAGGTTTTGCTATATGTTACTGGAATACAGAAAACTTTGGCAGTTTTAGAGTTTAGGCTGAGTGGGTCCCGAGCTGGTGACAACCTGGGTACCAAGAAAAGACTTTATGCTATGTAATGCATTTTCTGCTGTAATCCAATTTTTTTTTTTCCCTTACAGCAGCAGAGTGACTGTCATGTGGCTGAACAGAGGTCAAACACATCACTTACATACTGTTCAGAAATTATGTTTATTCCCTTCTGGTACTTACTTCTTTTTCCTGAAAATAAATCCCTTGAAAAATCAAACGTCTAAACTAGTTTTAAAAATAGTAAGAGTAGATATTAATGAATACATTTATTTATTTTTTAAATTTATTACCTTGTTTTTTTCTCAATTTTGCATAATAAGTGGGTAAGATTTTCAAGTTTTCAAAATAATGAAAACAGAATCTCACCTATTGTCCTGATTAAATGCAGCAAACTCCCAAGGAAAACATAAAAATCTGATATTGCAGAACTTGTGATGTGATAGTGACCCTGTGATTGCTTGAGTGTGTGGTTGAAGCAAAAGGGGATTCAGAAAGCTTGTGGGAACTATTGTGTCCTTTACAGTTTTAGTATGCATACTACTTCCTTGGTACTGAAGTACTACAAGATGACCTTTACCACATGCAGGGGGAACAAAAGAAAAGTGTTTTTTCTGAGAAGTCATGTTGGGGCCAACCATAAGCAAAAAAAGCAGACACGTAATATCTATAATGAAAAGCATATATTAGTGACAAATAATATTTAGTGACTCCCAAGATGCACTACCAGAAAACTGTACCTACCACTGAGGTGCAGGTGAACCTATGTGAACATGGTAGCCCCTGAGTAACAAATTCCTGCATCAGGAAGATGTGAAGGATACACCCAGATTAAATAATAGCATTTTTGCTCACTCATTTCCCATTCTAATTTGGCTGCAAGGGAGGGTGGGGTGAGAAAGCTATAAAATGCAAACCAGCAATGAAGAATGTCCAGTGTCCTGCCGTGGGCAGGATGAAGGAACCACAGATCATGGACACATTGCCAGGGCCCTTAGAGAAACATCTTACCCATCTCAGCACGAAGGTATAAACCACCATGAACTGAAAAGCAGCCAAACATTTTGCAGTGCTTTGGCTTCTCTTTGGATTCTGCTCTCCACTTACAGGCCAAGCTCTATCCTATTTAGTTTCCAAAACTTCACATTATCAAAGCCTGAGGCTGCAGGGCTGCAGTGGATCCTGGGAAACTTGTTTCAGCAAATCTCAAGTCAAAAGCTGACCACATCTTGGACAGGACAGAGCATTGCCTGGCTAACAGATGTAGTCCATGAATGCTGGCTGAAGTTTTGGTATAGCCATGTGTAGTATCTGACTTGTTCCTGTTTTCTGTTTCACAGAGTGTCTGTGAAACTGGAATATTTTGTGTGAAAGGTTTTGCTATTTTTTTTTTTTTTGTGTGTGTGTGCGTCTGAAAAATGTTTGGATCAATTTGAGTGTTCATAGGAGCTGCTTTGTTCTAGAAGCAAGGGAGATGAGAATTCCTAAGTTCTTGTGTCTAACTGGGATTTTTGTACCAGGTAAATCAGGTGACACACTATTTTACTTACACTGTTGAATTAAATGGAAGATATTTGGGTTTTGCATAGATGTAAATGCAAATATACCAAAATATATTTTGGCAAATCTGTATCAACTGACCTGTATATACAAGTAAAAAAGTTATGTCCTTCCATTTTTAATTCCTCTGTCTATTAATTTACCTTGGTATAGCTTTCATTGTTTTGCAAAAATTATGTTTTAACAAAGCACTTTCACAGATGCTTAACTTGAAAGATATAGAACCTTGTCACTAAATCAAAGCTGTAGCGTTCATATATCTCACTAAACTGGTGAATGAAGATTTGAGCAGGTATGGCTCAGTCTTACAATTTTTTGTTTCCCAGAGATAAGTGTGGAGATGATGATCAAAAAGAAGCAGTGTAAGTTTTTATTTATATTAAAAAAAAACCAAAATTAAAAACCTAAACTACAGGCGGTCTCATGTGAAATAATATCCAGTATTAATATCCAATTGTGCTAATATACACAAGTTGATTGTAAGGTCCCAATCAACTCACTGTAAGGGCTTACAGTCCTTCATGTACTCTGTGTTAAATGTGTGGCAGTAATACCAACCAGATCTCCTCAAGAGGTCAAAACAAGACAAAAGTTTACAAGCAAACTTTAGAAAAATTATGTAACTTCAGCAAAAGTTTTAGTACAACATCCAATCAACATTAAACACTTCTCACAGCATTAACTTGGACCATTTAACTTAGCAAATTTTAAACCCATTTGATCTTAAATTACATCTCAAAATGTTCAAAGAAGAAGGAATTAGAAGAGAAACAGAAAAGATATAGAAAAACACACAAATAGTCACCAGTTCCTGGGTTTCCAGTACTGTTCAGACAGGAACTCCAAGACACAGGGTTAAGAGGGATGCTGAGTGCCTGCTCAGCCTTAAATACCCCTTAGCCTCCATGGGCCCTCCTCCCAGGTGGGACTTCCAGTCATTTGTCCACCCAGGAGCTGGGTTAGGAACTCCAGAGAGGGAATGTGGGGCATTTCCTGAGTTTTGCCAATGATTGGCAGCTCTGTCAGGCAGGGATACTGGCTCTAGGGGGTGTGGGGCAGTTCACTGGCTTTACAGGGCAAGGTGTGACCTCAACACCCTCCCACAAGTATCCCAAAATGTCTCAAGACATTAATCCTTCCAGGCTTTGACAACTTATTATTCAAGGCATACCTATGAATGTTATGCAGGTGAGAGATTGTTTCCATTCTTACAGCCAGGAAAAAAAGAGAGATATTGCTCTCACTAGTATCATACAATACTGTAACCAAAGTCAGGATAGTAAACATTCAAAAATGTCCTGCCTCATAGTTTGTCAAACCATGTGATTTTTGAACACACTGCCTTGAAATCCAACAAAAGTATGATTTTTCAGGGCACCTATGGACTTACATGGGGTAACTCTAGATTAATTCCTTTGAGAACTACATAGACCAGAGAAAATACAGTTTGCCTAATAATTATATTTGCACTTTTCCTTTTGTGTTAGGATAGACCATGTTTTCCATAGAATAGTATTGTGGCCCCACACAGAAGTCATGAAGGACTTGAGGTTAGGAGAGGTCAGCAAGGATGCTGGTGAGTGAGCAGGGGATAGCAAAGATTATTAAGGTACTGGAGCATCTCCTTTATGAGGAAAAGCTGAGGGAGCTGTTCAGCCTTGGGTTGGCTGAACAATGTCTGTGAGTACTTGAAGGGAGAGTGCCAAGAAGACAGAGCCAGGCTTTTCTTGGTGGTGCCAGGCAATAGGACAAGAAGCAATGGGCAGAAACTGATTCTGGGAAATTCCACCTGAATACAAGGAAGAACACCTTTCCTGTGCATTGGAACAGAATGTCCAGAGAGACTGCGGAGTCTCCCTCACTGGTGATTTTCCAGAACTCTCTGGATGCAATCCTGTGCCACGTGCTCTAGGATGACTGCTTGAGCAGGGAAGCTGCACCAGATGACCCAATATGCTTCCTTCCAACCCAACCCATTTTGTGATTCTGTAAAGCAATAAATATGAAAGTACAAAATTATCTATTTTTAAAATAATTTCATTTGAAGTAATCTGGCCCTGATTCTGGTATGATAGACACTGGTGTATCAGTTAGCGAGTGTAAATCTCTTGGCTTCAGATACTGATTGAAATGAATTCTTGAGGAAGTCTTTTGACTACAATTTTGCATGGGTATATATATGACAGGCTGAAAACCTTTCTTAAAAGTATGGAAAACAGAATTAGCAACATAGACAAGGACAGAGGAATAAACCAGAAAAGGCACAGGAAAACTGTATGTGAGAAAGGAGGAAAAGTGAACTAACTGTGGTGTGTAAAACAAAAGAAAAAAGATCAGAATGTACCAGAGTCAATGGAAAAGGGAATAAGTCTGGATAGATGGCAGGAAGCCTGAGGGAGGCCTGAAGAAAGAAAACTACAAGAAAAGGATATCAGAAGAAAAAGGAGGTGCTGAAAGAAGAGCAATGTAGGCCTAGAGATGATGAAGCTTATGAACCCCCTGTTTTTTTAACATATGGCCATGATGTTTTTAAAATTTATTTTTCTCTGTTTGAAAACCTGTGGGTCTGACTCGTGGTAAAAGACTCTCCAGGTACTTGTGGAACTAAATTTTCTTTTCAACACATATACTTTCCAGGGTAGAAAAACTGTTGATTTCCTTGTAATCTTGCTTCATGAAAATATGATCTGCAAAGAAATGGATAGAGAATTGCATCAACACATGAATACCCATGCATGTGCACAACTGTTTTTCTTCAGACAGGAAGCATACACTGCTTAATTTTAACAATTTAAATTAATTTAGCCAGGTTTAATAAGGTATTGCCAGCTGGTTTTGTTACAAATAAATATTTAAAGAACAATTTTCATATACAATCAAAGCTTAGGAAAAACATCATTTCAATATGCCAAAATTCCTTTCATTTCTCGGTCTCTTGTTTTCCCCCTTGCCCTTCCATCAGTGGCTAGCTATTAAAGATAAAATGGTTGTAATCATTATTATAATAGATCCCTCTGCATGATCTTCTAAGTGGGCCTAATCCTCTGCTTTTCTTATTGCATTGCAATATCCTACTACGGGAATGGAAGAGATGATACAAAGGATTATGAGTCCTGAGTATGAAAAAGGAAGACCAGAATGAAAGTTACTCTTTCCACACAAGTACTTAATAAACATTCAGGTTTCACACATGGGTTGATAGGGAAAAAAAAGCTACATGAAATGAGCCTCTTTAGCACATTGTTTTCTATTGCACTTTTACTGGAAACACAAGTTAATTAAAACACATGCACACAAAATAGCCTACTTTTGAGTTCTAACTATCAGACAAGGCCATACTGTATGCATACAAAGTGCAAGAAATAATTTATAGGACAAATTCCCCACAAGACCATTCAGGGAAAGAAAAAAAAAAAAAACCTAAAAGAAAGAGAGAGAAAAAAAGACCTGGCTCTTGACACTAAAGGCTTAACATCAAATGCGGCCAGAAATCCATTTTCACAGTTTTATTGCCCATTCTGGACGCTTCATTTCAAAGGGAAAGAATTTGAATTCAGACACATAAAATTCCCTTTGTTCTCTTGCCCTCCAGCCTTTGGTGCCAGTGTGGACGGTCCTATAGGGAAAGGTTGAGATCAAAAAAAAATTTGCAGCTCAGATACCTGGCCCCAAATGATGCCCCTTGGCATTCTTAATTAAATCAGCTTTGCAATAAATTGACAATGCACTGTCAATTGTAATCATTTATATTAGCAAACTGAGTATTTTTAACACTTTGGAAATAACAGAAGTTTGGTAGACCTGGGAAAAAAGAAAAAAAGATGCTATAAAATTGTACCGCGTGATGATCACATATAGTGCATCGGCTTGTAGGTCACGCAACATCTTATCTTAACATTGAATAAAGTTAGTGTGATTTTCCATATCTTTCCCCATCTGAAAGGTCACTCCCACTTAGGTTAATCTGTGTTGTTTTTCTGTGAGATTCAAAACAGAGCTTGAGTGTACTGTAAGGGGATAGAAGAAGGGGACATTGCAGCCTTATGATGGAGGGAACCTTTGTTCTAGAGAAAGGGTCTGATCCAGAGTCCACTGCACTGGAGGGAGTTATTACTATTGATCTCTGTAGGCTTTGGACCAGTACCTGCAGAGATTATTTTCACTGAGAGTTCTGAGGTACTTTTGATATTAAAATCGGCACAGGCATATTTTTTAAAAGGAAGATATCTCCTTTGCTAGCGAATAGCATCCCTTCTTGTACTGATGAATAAGGTACTTTCTGATTTCTACAGTGTTATTTCTTTATGTTTAGCCTCATGCTTCTTTCAATTCCACTTAATTTGGAATAGATGCACATCAGCTCTCGGTCTTCAGAGTATAAATTGATCACTTGGAGAGGTCAGGAAGGCATTTTTTCCTCTCCACGTATAGCGCTGCACAAGAGATTAGAGGTCTGTGTAACAATGCCTGCATTTCCACTTTCTGTGGAGTTTATAGCTACTTTTTTCTTTCTTCTTTATGGAACCCACTGACTCTGATATTCATTTCACTATAGTGGATTAGGTATGACTTTTGCTTCAAACGTTCATGTAAGTTGATTCTGATTTTCCTGTATGAAATACATCTCTACTATTGGATGTTAGTATTGGATAGCAGTGGACTTGCATTTTAGCAGTGTTTGGTGGCTGTTAATGGACATTTCTCTACCAAACCTAGAGACATAGAAAAATTTTAATTGCTCATTGGACTGACTTATAGAGACACTGTTGCTGTAGCAGTTAAATAGAAGCTTTTTGCTAACCTTGAAAAACATTATTTACCATAAACTGTCCATGGAGTAAGGAAGTTTAATTTTTTATGAGATTAAAAAAAGTTGTTCTAACTCAAACATACTGATCAAGTGTTAGAAATTTCACCATAATTAGAGCACTTTTCCAAGCCTTACATCTTTGAACTTCAAACCCAGTTGGGAGATTTTGATATTTCTCTTAACCATTCTCAAGTTCTTGAGCATTAAGGACCTCACATATATTCTAATAATTCTTTTTTCCAGAAAGAGGAGGTAATGTTAAAAGACAAGAAAGAAGCTGAAAAAAAAATAATTCTGAACTGACCTGAATTGTGGAAGAACCAAGACCTGAAACTTGAGAACTGGCCTTCAGAATGACCTGCCACAGGTCCCTCAGAAAGTATTCTTGTGAACTGAGATCAAGAGTTTTCAAGTAAAGATCCATTCACCAAATATTATACAGAAAAGAAAGTGGCATCTCATTTGGTGAGGTCCCTTTTGAAGAATGTCTTGAATGTCAGATTGAACTGCAGCTGGAAATGAACAGGGGGAGATTTTAAATTCAGATATTCTGCAATATTTTATGTCACCATGGTGGCAAGCAGGTGGAACGTGCTGGCATTTGCAACAGATTCCAAATAAATGCAAAGTTTATGTCATTACAGTAGTTGATCATTAGTAGACATATTTTGACATGATTTAGATGTTACATAATATTAAAACCAGATCTGTGCTGTTATTGCTCTGGTCACAAAAACATCCTGAAATTCTTCCCCTTCACATTTTCTTTTCCAAATCTATTTTTCTCTTTAATTGTTTTTACCTTTCACTTCTCTTTCTTGGTACTGCACTTTTTCTTCTTCCTAAGAATGTATATATTCAATGCAGGATGTATTAGTTCTTGTTTAAAGAGTAATCTGTTTCCTCTAAACATTCTTTGGTTGAAATCTGCAGAGTATTCATTTTCTGTTCTTTCACCAGCCTCAAATCCCTGAGCAATACCAAGCTTGTATGTTGGGCTGCCTTTTCATTTTAGTATCAGTGGACATTGCCAGGATTTCCATTTTGCTTCTAGAAAGTCTTTCTGGTTCTTTGATAGTTCTTATTTCCCTATTGTAGAATTTCTTCAACCAGACTATACCCTTCTTGCAAATCAGCAGTGTTTGCCAATAGGAAACTTCTGTTTTGCTCTGGGAACTTGCAAAAAAAAGTGAGAACTAATCTCCTTTTATATTTAAAGAATTACTTTCCAGCTACAAGAAAACTGAGGAGCCCAGTAAGTGCTTGGTAGTCCAAATAACCATTAACTTTGTGGCACATATCAAAGGGAAGAGATGACAACTCCTCAATGGCATTTATTCTGACATGGTCTCTTTCCCCAGATTACACAAGGCAGAAATCAAGCAGTTTTCAGTTAATTTCTTGATACATTTTGCAATCCAATTAAAATTCTTAGTGAATTTGTAATTCATAATTTGTAGATAATTTTTATCGTTATTTTTACTCACTCTGCGAAGGATTTGTGACTGTTGACATAGTTAAGTCCAGTGAATAATCAATACCTGTAACTTCTAAATGTCAAGAAATCATGGTGCTGCAATGAATTAAAAAGTATTGTACCCTGTAATTGTGCTAAATGCACTTAATTTTTGCATATGTTTTCAACGGAGAAAGTTAGATTTTTTTATGAACCCATTTAAAGAAAGACAGATTTTTGCAGATAATTTCATTGTAGAACAAAAATATCTAACGTCTGAAAACTTAAAATATTTTTTACATTTATGGTTCAATATTTGCAAATCCTTGAATTTCAGGTAAAAATATTGAGATTTTGGCTGACCCCATTTGGAAAAAAAAAAAAAAACAAACCAAAACCAAAAACAAACCAACACCATAAAAACCAGAGTAAAATAAAACCCCCAGTAACAAACTGTAAAATATCTGCCGTCATCCACTATCCATTACAAGCAAAATCTTTACTGAAGTCTATACAAGAAAAAATGCTAAATTGCATCCTGGAACAGGACAGCTGACTCTATTTTAATTTTTTTTTTTTCCTTTCCTGTTCCAAGTGGATATCTGCGAAGATTTATTTCCTATGTAGGCCCCATGGTAATTTAGAATGATAAATTTCTCAGAGACAACTCTCTGCAGCTTTAGTGAAAATGTATGCCTGCAGCTAATTTTCTGCAACAAGTCTGGCTATTCCTTTTCCAGTTATATTGGCTTCTGAATAGTCCAGTCCTTTGTTTTCCAGGGAACCCAACAGGAATATTGCTTCTCAGGAAAGACACAGGGTCTTATTTGTCAGGGTATCCATGAAAATAATTCCATAAAGGGATTCCTGTGAATATGATTTTAGATGGATGAATATTCCCATTTAAGTACTTTCTAACATAACTGTAATAGAATGTTAATGTATATTTTATGAAATAAGTTGGAAAGAGAACTAAAATGCTTAGATCTCTCTTTGTATCCCAGAACAGAATGAACTGTTCCTAAACTGGACTTGTCATCTATATCTGACCTGCTCTTAGGAATTTCCAACCATCTCTTTAGATAACAAAATTTAGAGTTAATATTTTCCGGCTCAATATTTTTTTGCGTGGTAGCAAACAGGTTGTGAACAGGTGATTCCATTCTGCTTTGTAATGTCCTTTTCTGACTCTCCACTGTTTTTTACTGCCCTGTTCCACAGTCTCTTCAATGCCTTTACATCTTTTCAGCTGAGAGGACGACTGGACACAACAATATTTGCTTGTACATTACTTGTGTGCCTTGTAGATGACACTTTTTTGTATATACTGTTTGCATTTTGCCACAACATGTCATACCTTACTCCAGGTCAGTATTCCTAAACCTGACTTTACACTTGTCCTTGTTGTAGCCTACTTTTTAAAGCCATTATTTCATCCAATTTTGAAGTCTAATCCAACATGTCTGAAGTATGGTTTAGCTGCATGTCATCTGTTCATTTACTGCAAGTACACTTTATTCCATCTTCAAGTCATAAAAGAAATACAATTTAGTGCCAAACATGACAGATCCCACAGAAAATTCAGTGAACCCATTCAAGATGAGAAGAAATCACTAAGTATATCTGCTTAAGTTTCACAAATATTTTATTTGCCAGCTTTTCATCACATGCTGTAAGTATTTGGTAAAACGTAGCTATTATAAATTGTAATTGAGAACTCAGATGCAGAAAAAGGGAGACAGATCAATTAATATAAGCAAACATCAGTTTGTTTTAAACTTAATTTTGGTCTGAAGGACAAAAATGATACAAATTTCATTTAAATGAAAATTGGACTTTATTATGACAGCTGATCTACATTTAATTATCTTGGTTGTAATTTAGAAGCATATTCAGCTTGTTGGTTTACATGAATTACTTTTCTCTTGGCCTTACTCTCCATCCCCCATGTTTTCCCCTACTAGCCTAGAGTGGAATAAGTGAATCTCTTAGCAAAATAACTGAATAATTGAAAAGCGGCATAAAAAAAGAGCACATCTTATGACTTAAGCTGTATTTGTTTTGGAAGAGAAATGAGGTCTGGATGTCTATTTCTGTTCCAGATAAACATCATAAAAACCTGAACTCTATCTATTAATATAATCCCCTATTTAATATTATTAGTATCTAAACTACTTCATGGGCCTCGCTGTTTAGTATTTTCAGTATATACATTTTATCTCAATTCAGCTTTATGCTCCATTTGGCTCTTTCTGCCTGTTTTTTCAAATAGAGCATCAGACAGCCCAACTTACAACTCAGCACTGAGAGAGCTCCACATTGTTCACATAGTTTCTCAAAAAAAATTGCAGTGAGCTCTGTTAAAAACCACATTTACCATGGCAAGGTGCAAATATCTCGTAGTGGAAAACAGACTAAGCAAGGAAATATTGTGGTAAAATCAATAGCCCAGAACACTATTATGCTCTCTAATGGCACCCAGTGTTTGATCAAGGCACACGTACACATATTTCCAAGTTTCTTATGTCCTATTCATGACTACTGGAATCAAATTACAGTTAGGTCTGCAACAAATACATAGATTTATATCCTAGACTCCAGGCTCCTCTGAAGCAAAACTGGTCTGGTTTCACTGTACGAGACGTGAAAGAACGACGCGAGCCGCTGCTAATGCAAAGGTGAAAAAGAGAGAATTTATTTTCTGCCTCCAGCATTTATACTTTTTCAAAGGTGACAGTGGATTGGAGGGTGAAGGTGCCACTTCTCCAATGACATTGGACAAACTACTAGTACATCAAGTTTCTCCACCTGTATGAAGGAATGCAAAACAATAGGTTGTTTACAGAAAGTTGTGTGAGAAAGTTCTCTAACAGAATGTAAACTCAGAAGGCATTAGAAAATCTTAAGAATCAGGGTGACAGTCTGGGGTCTGGAATCCAACCTTAAATCCACTGGATTTGGGGTAGATTTTCCCTCTGACTCAAGCAGCTCTTAGACAGGTCTGAAAGGAACAGCATCGGGCTCAAAGTGGCTAGTGAGGTTTGTTCAAACACGGCTGGCTCTGGGTCCTGCACAGTGCTCCCCCTTGGGATGAGAGGGGGAGAGAGAAGGGGTGCTGGAGCAGAGGAGAACAAGGCCCCAGGGATGACTAGCAGAGGTGTCAAACCCCATCCCAGATGATGTGGATCCCCACTCCTTGGCTGGCATGACTCATTCCTGTTGGAGCAGGGAGTGTTTTAACCAGGAGGAAGAGTACACTGAGCCCATTAAACATCCCCTGAGCTGCAGTCTGTGTGGACATGCAGATCAAAGGTTGTGTCCTGCCTTTGGTGACTCTTGGCAAAGCTCTGCACCCTCCAGCCAGTGGGTGTCAGAGGGATCCTTCTCCTGGAGAGCTGGGCTGTGGCAGTCAGGAGTCCAGTGCAATCACAGCTGGGATGGCAGCCCCTGTTAATCCTTCAGAGCCATTCTGTTTGGAACAGCACAGAGAGAGAAGCTAATGGTGCTGAGATGAAAATACAAAGTTGGTAATTTTTTAGATTTTGAAGGGAAAGAAAATAGTGTATGCATGTGAGAGCATATACACATTCTAAGAATTAAATTTGCTCTTATTTTCAATATATCACATTTTTGAACATAAAACTGGATGCATGTCTTCTGTAAATATTATATTTTGGGGGATTTTTCTAGACACACAGAGGAATAATTCTTTACTCCCTAAGTAATGTAAAACTATTCCATATATTTAGCACAAGTCTTATTGTACAAATTGTACAAGACAAATTAACTTTTATCTGTCGGAAGGGAAAGTGATTGAAACCAATCTCACGTGTTTTACCATTTCCTTGGCATTGTGATTTCTAAGAACTGAGTCTGGAATATGGCATATAAAATAACAAAATGCTTTGTTAACAGCATTTATGTGTATTTTATATGGAATATTCTTATATATGTATCATTCTTTGATTTTGTGGATAATATTTAATAAATAATATGAAATATCATTATATTTGTAAATAGGGCATCTTTATGTGCATGTGAAAACAAATACATTTTAATTGGACAAAAATAATGAAACTTTAATTAAAAATATTAAAAATTATTAAAATAATTATTAATTATTTAAAAAGAATTATTAATTATAATAAAAATAATTTAAAAGAATAAAAAATAATTAAACTGCATATGTTAAGTCTTTAGCATGTAGTCAAAAAATTTAGCAAGTGGGCAGCTAATGAACCAAATTACAAATAAACCTGTCTTTGCATTCATGAATAATATAGATTCATTATTATAGAGACAGTTT